CAAACGTTAAAAAAAAAAAAAAATGGTTAGCCGAGCCGTAAAGCCATTTGGCTCAGTTGTAAACAAAATTAATCAAAGGAAGGAAAAAAAAATAAAAAAAAATTAGCTGAGCCGAGCCATAAAGCAGCTCGGCTCAGCTTACGGCTTGTGTACAGTAGAGGCAAAGTGCCTCTTTTATTTATGTGTAGATGTAGAAAAGCTGAGCCGTCCCTTTTTAAACCAAAATTGCCCAGTTTCTTTTTTAGCAGTCGCTCTTTGCCTTCTTTTCTTGCTTCAGCCTCTCTTTATTATTGTTTTTCTTTTTTTTTTTCTCCATCTGCATGTGTGTATTTGTGAATATGTATAAACTTTTAGTCCAACCAAAAGTCCTAGTGGAGGTCCAATTAATTCCAATGCTCAATTAAATTAATGCTTACTTTCAAGTTTTCAATTCTTTCATGTAATGTAAGTTAGACATTGAGTCCACTTAATTGTGCAACTAATGTCAATTTAGTCCTCGTACTTTGGATTTTTCTATTCTTCGCCACCTTTTGCTTCTTTCCTTTAATTCATTTTTTATTCATAGAGTTTCACCTATTAAACATAAAATACAATAATTTAGAATATATTTTGTCAAATGAACTATCAAATATCACTATTTAGGCCTCGATAAGTGTACAAAACACACTTATCACAAACATGGTACACAAGCAAAACAAAAAAAGATAAATAAGTGGTAAGTGCGACATTTTCTAACATAATCTAGATAACAATTCATGGTAAATTGTAACAAGATGACACAATTCATTCCAAGAAAAAATTTCAATAATAAATAGTTTGACTCAGAGGTAGTAACAATTCTGTATCATCATCATCTTTTAGTGTGTAATAGGAAATGCATCACGGGAAAACCAGAAAGTTAAGTTCAAGAAATATATCTACCTTTTGCAATTTCTTATTCTAAATCCAATTAATGAAATCAATAAAAACTTACCAAAATTCATACTCCTACCAGAATACCAAAGTCGGCATCTGCCAAATCAAGGAAGAAAACTTACAAAGTGGAGGAAGAATCATTGAAAAGGTCAAGGTTCAAATAACAAGTATAAAAAAAATACCAAAAATTCGGTTTCCTGGAATGATTGTCAAAAACCCTAACCTAAATCTGAAAGAACTTCGAGAAAGTTACCTTACATTCAAGCCCTCATATGTAAAATTTCGTAACTTCTACCTTTTAGTATCGGATCTCAGAGTGTCACTTCATTTACTTTTACAAGTTTGTAAGGATGTCAGGATTGGCCGTAAATTGTGGAACACTCGTGCACGATTCAATCAAAAATTGGAGGGATTTCACCACTGATTGGCTATGAGAAACTCGCGATCGGCGTGGACGACTGAAAAATGACGACCAACGTCGATGATTAGGTGGAAGAATTTCAGAGTTGCGAGAGAGATTAGGGCTTCAGAGTTCTGGCTTCCACTTTTCACACAAGGTTAGTATTGTAAGATTTTTTTGTTTTTTAAGTTGATCTGTCGAGTCAAATGATTTGTGACTACTTTGATGGGCAAACCATCCGAATTGAACCAACCCATTTCAAAAGAACCATACTAAAAATTATGTAAAAATCTAATTAGAATTGATTTTCATGGGTAAACCCATAACCCTATCTGACTCAACCAAAACCCGACTAAAGAAGATATGAAAATCGGTGGTTATTGACTCACTTCTAGGGAGAAGTTAGAATTTAATACATGATTGATATTTGTACTTTTTCAAATAGATAGTGTAGATTATGTGTTAGATTTCTATTTGCTAACACAATTTATAATTATTATCTATAATATATTAAATATCATATCAAGTGATGATCATTTTTGGACGATTATAGTCCTAAAACAATTTAGTTATTTCAATAATACATTACTTCCGTTTTCTAATATGTATTTAATTTACAAACTAATAAATACTATAAAATCATTGTTTATGCATGTATTCCCTATTATTAATTTTCAATTAATTGACGTTCACATTCATTTAATTAGTAGTAATTAAAATGTAACATTAACATTCGCGTCCATGTGCCTATTATTAATTATCAATTAATGAACATTCACGTTCCTTTAATTTATATTAATTAGAATTTCATATTCAAGAATGCAGTTCATTATTCATCTATAATTTATTAAATATCATATCAAGTGAGAATAATTTTTTGAACGATTATAGTCATACAATTCAATTATTTTAATAATACCATACTTTTCGTTTTTCAATATGTATTTAATTTACAAACTGTAATAAATATTATAAAATTCTTGTTCATACATGTATTCTCTATTATTAATTCTGAATTAATTAACATTCACATTAATTTCANTATTAAATATCACATTAAGTGAAAATCATTTTTTAGACGATTATAATCCCCACAACAATTTAATTATTTTAATAATACCTTACTTTTCATTTTTCAATATGTATTTAATTTACAAACTGTAATAAATATTATAAAATTCTTGTTCATACATGTATTCTCTATTATTAATTCTGAATTAATTAACATTCACATTAATTTAATTAATATTAACTAGAATTTCACATACAAGTCCATGTCCTTGTTATTAATTTTTAATTAATTAACATTCATATTCATTTAAATTATATTAATTAAAATTTCACATTAAAAAAATGTAGTTCATTATGCACTTTCATGTATGTTAATTAGCATTCAATTTCACTTCATTGAAAATGAAATTATATTCATTTAGTATATATGATTTACATTCATTGTCATGTATATATTTCTTGGTATTAATTCTAAATTAATTCATGTTAATTCATGTATCGTATTTGTCATTAATCTCCATTTATGCATTTAGTTGTAATTTTAATACTCACATTCAAGTATGCATTTACTATTTACATGCATGTATAATAATTAAAATTTATTTTTAGGGGGCTTGCATTTCTATCATATTTAGTTTAAAAGGGTAAATGGAGAGTCAATTATTATTTTTATAGCACTTTCCAACTCTAACTAGTCTATTAACATCACATGAGGTGAGAATCACTTTTTGGATGATTCCAGCCCTACTACAGTTTAATTATTTCAATAATACCTTACTTTTCATTTTTCAATATATATTTTATTTAACCTTTCAATGTACATGTAAATCTGACATATTCATTTTACTTGTATGTTTTTACTAATATATGAATTCTCTATTATTAATTTTTATTAATTCACATTTACATTTATTTAATTAATATTCATATTCATTTATGTATTTTAATGTTATTAATTCTAATTGTAATTTATTTAGAATTTCACATTCAATAATATATTTCATTATTCACGTCCATGCATGTTAATTAACATCCACATTTACTTAGTTGGATTTAAATATCACATAGAGTGAGAATCATTTTTTGTACGATTTTAAGCCTCTTGTAATTCAATTTTTTCAATAATACATTATCTTTCGTTTTTCAATATGTATTTAATTTATTTAACGATTTCGTTGACATCAATGTACATGTACATTTGATAAATTTATTTCATCTGTGTGCTTTCATTAATGTATGAATTCTCTAATATTAATTCTCAATTAATTAACATTAATATTCATTTCGCTAAAATTCATTTTCGTTTATAAATTTCATTGTTATTAATTCTAATTATAAGTTACTTAGAATTTTTTATTTAAGAATGCATTTCATTATTCACGTCTATGTACAATAATTAACATCTAATTTTACTTAATTAAAAATTAAATAAATAATTTAACATTCATTGTCACGTATATATTCTCTGGTATTAATTATAAATTAATTTCTATTCATGCCTATTCAAATATTACATTTATAAATCATTTCATAATAACGTGCAACACACGTTCAACATTGACTAGTATGAGAAAATTTGTTTTCATGGTGGAATTTGAAATTCTCATTAAGGGCATTTTGGTCAAAATTTTAGCAAATTAGACATGCAACAAATTTCGAACATTTTTGCAAATGACCATGTGAAACAGTGACGGATTTATCATGGCACTGCCCTCACAATAAATTTCAAATATGTTATTTTGCCCATAGTTTTTAAAGATTTTCAATAAAACTATGTGGCTAAACTTTTATAATTGGTCGAAGGAAATGGAAACCTTGAAATCAATAAAACTATGAGATCTAATTCCTTTTTATTGTTCAATTTATGCTTTGAGTATTGGATGTTCGTCTGTGCCTATTTTCATAATTGTCTCATTTAATTACTAGGAGACCAATTAGTTTATTATTTGTTGCATTCTAGTGCTAAGTTATATATCAAATCCGTAATTATTTGATCTCTCTAATTTGTGAAGCAACTAAGATTTAATGAATTGCTGCAGCAGAAATTATTAGATCTTAGGAAGAACGCTCGACTAAATTAAATTCAACAACTTGTGCTTGTGTTGTTTAGTTTTATCGATCTCTCTATTTTTAAGGTTGTTACTAGATTAAACCTCTAGCTCTTGTCTTGGGTTATTTGTTGTTACGGTTAATTAAATCGCTTGTTTTCTAATTGACTGTGACTAAAGAGAGATGGGAAAATAGTTCCAACGGTGAATATTCAAAGTGTGAATTGATATATAGATGCATCGATGATCAGTTGTAAAATTATGATGTTGGATGTTGACTTAGACCCATGTTCTTTTGATTGATTTTAATACTTTAATTTGAATTGTTCCTTAGTTGTTTTTCTTAAAATTGTTTTCGTTATACTCAAACCCCCCATCCTTGTTCACGTAGCATAAAACTATGCTAGATACTCTTTGTGAGAACGATCCTCACACCACTACATGTATTTTAGGAGAATAGGTTTTATTTTTGGTTGCTTGTGACAACACACCAATATATCATTGTTTCACCATTACGCTGATGGTCAATTTACTATCTTTCAGCCACTATAGAAATTATTAAATTTGTCAATACCATTTTTGGATTCAATTCTACTGAATTTATGTTTTCTTTTGCAGATCAAAGCAAAAGTAGAAAAGAATCAAGCAATGGAGGGATGTTCTCCTGCAACTAGTAAAGAGCATCATAGGAAAATCACAAGAGGTAAATCACGGGTTTCATATCTTACAAACGCTTTTAAGGTTACACATAATTGACACAAATCTATGCACAAATCATGCAACATGAATTGCTACATACAAATCATCAAACACCACTTTAGATTGTTGAAAAAAGTGAGTGATCTATGTGTGGATAAATCATCAATTAACACAACAATTTTAAATAACATGAAAATACAATTCAATAATAACATAAACATAAAACACAGGTATAGAGGGTTAGGAAAGCAAATTTTAGAGAGTCACGTTAAGGACACTGTCCTAAAGTTGTGTTGCCTCCCCTTCATGGGGCTACTTTTAGTACTACACTAATTTAAGATAAAACTCATATGGAACACAGTCGGTTCTCCTTCTATGGACACGACCACAGGAAAATAAAAAGCAAAGCCAAACGAATATCAAAAAATTCAAAATTTCAATATTTTTCAGGTGGAAAATTATACCAATTAAACACAATTAATTGATAATTTTCAATAAAACAAGTTATAGGCAATTCAATTCGTGAAATTCATTTTTTTTTCACCCAAATTTTATTCTTGCAATCAAATTGAACTTACATTCTGATATTAAGATTTTTATTTTTGTATTAGATCTGAGAATTAAAAACTAAAACTGAAATAAAAAATGTATTAATTTGAAATTTAAAAGTTATTGATTTTATGTTACAACACTCCCTACCGCCGGATCAGCCACCAAACCTTAGAATTGTTTACCGTCATGCACCAAATACACCAAATAATCCCTCATTCTCCGATAACTTTTTTTTTACTCCGATGCATGACGATCACTCCAAGATGTTGTCCGATGCACTCCCACGTTATTGGTGATATAATGCTGATTGTTCTAATGAAATATATGGGTTGAACCTACGGAGATGTTTAATTATTGTGTTTGAAAACTTGCAGATTTTACTTTCATATTCTCCATGGAGAGTAATTTACCTTTTATTTTGAGTGTTTTGAGATTGTTTATGCAGACTCATTGTTGTTTATTACGAAGCTTCGTGAGAAGGTTTAGATTTTATAGGAGAGGGATTTATACTAAGAGAAACTGAAATTATTTATTTATTTTGAACAATGCTATTGCAGATTATGTCGATGATTGTCTGGTTTTGTTTTTATTTCATAGTTTTTGTCTTATAGTCAGTTCTTTACCATATGTGATTCTGGTGAAATTATATGACGGTGATTTATATATTGGAATGCTGAGATCTGAGTCCAGGGCCTGTGTTTCATGCATTTACTTTTGAGATAGTCATTCTGACATTTTAATGATTATTTTGATTAAGAGACTGCTAAATTTTAGTGGAATCTAGAATGTTGTCTGGTCATTTAGTTGAGCCAAATCTGTGTTGAATGCACAATTTTCTATACCATTCCAGATTGTAATTTTGGACTTCCACTCTAGAAGCTGAAATCTATTATGGATGGCTTGGCGTGGATCACTTCTTGTCGAAATATCAAACATGCATGACACTGATGTGGCGTCTAAACTGTTAATAGTCTAAGGTAGAGTTAGCTGAGAATTATGGGGATGAAAATTGAGTATTATGAGGGGTTTTGGAATAGTATTTTCTAGCATAATGTTATGTGTCTGTTAATGGATGACGAAAATCAAATTAGAACTTTAAGACGAGCAGTGAGGAATCTAAACTTAGACATGCCAGTTTACTATGCAAGGCGAGCCAATATTTTCTTTTGCATCTTTTTGGGAGAGGATGCCTGGGTGGGGTGGCTGTTTTCATCGAGTCTTCGAAGAGTACAAGGACAAAGTCAAAGATGTGTAATGAATTCAATGGGAAAGAAAGCTAATAGAGAAGACCTATTAGAGCTTATGTATCTCTTGCAAAATATATTTGTTGTCAGTATTAAGGGCAATGACTTTGAAGAAGCTGGCAGACATTGATAACTTCTTTTAGATTAAAACAGGAAGCAACGTGCTCTCTCTCTCTCTCTCTCTCTCCTCTCTCTCTCTCACCC